AACTGTGCGGATCGCGCTTTTGCGCGATAAATCGATTGAGTTTCTGCCCTATCAGCTTTGGATGGTAGGATATGGGCCTACCATGGCATTAACGGGTAACGGGGAATTAGGGTTTGATTCCGGAGAGGGAGCCTTAGAAACGGCTACCACATCCAAGGAAGGCAGCAGGCGCGTAAATTACCCAATCCTGACACAGGGAGGTAGTGACAATAAATAACAATGCTCTGGCTCTTCGAGTCGGGCAATTGGAATGAGAACAATTTAAATCCCTTAACGAGGATCAATTGGAGGGCAAGTCTGGTGCCAGCAGCCGCGGTAATTCCAGCTCCAATAGCGTATATTAAAGTTGTTGCAGTTAAAAAGCTCGTAGTTGGATTTCTGTTTTGGATGTCCGGTCCGCTCCCTCTGGGAGTGTGTACTTATGGATATTCGAGGCATTTTTTGTGAGGCTGCCTTTCTGCCATTAAGTTGGTGGGTTGGTGGGCTTGCATCGTTTACTGTGAAAAAATTAGAGTGTTTAAAAAGTCCTGGATCGCTTCTTTCATCTTGATGCACACCCGGTTGGTACACCCGCTGATCCCAGTGTGAAGCTGACGGAGGCCATGTGCCCCCCAAACGCCAGAAGAAAAACATGAGATGAAAAGCGATCCCGTACAGAGAGGCAGTTGGTAGCTTCATGTACTTAATGATGGGAACTAGACCTGATCTCGCATATTTTCTACGAGAAGTCAGTCAAATCCTGGTGAACCCAGGAAAACCTCACTGGAATGCCGTTAAGAGAGAATGAAGTACTTAAACGGTACGCGCAATCTTGGCATCACCCTTGGTGGAAAGCAAAATCTAGAGCAGTATAAGTCAAAGCATATTCTCATGCCTTACTCCGAAGGCAGAATTTTGCCCATTGCCTTGAACACCAGGGAGTTTTGTGGGGGAGGATTATTTTCGACTTATTTGTGTGGGGAAACCCCCATTTTCCTGGCCCATTGGGGAAAAGCCCCCCCCCCCGCAATATTTCTCTCCACAACAGAGGCGGAATACATAGCCCTATGTCACTGCATGCAAGAAGTTATTTTCTTAAAGCTTCTTTTAGTAGAGCTTGAACACGAAAGCTCACATGCTAGTACCCTATTTGAGGACAATTAAAGTTGTATTAAACTTTCCTACAACCCAGAACTGCATGGCAGAAGCAAGCACATTGACATTCGGTATCACTTTGTACAAGAAAAAGTAGAGCGAAAAGAATTTGAAATTATGTACTGCAACACCAAAGAAATGGTAGCAGACATTTTTACAAAAGCACTATCAAAACCCCTTTTTATAATTTAAGAGTTCCCATATGTGAGAAACACTCCTTCCAAAAATTGGGGGGAAGAGGGAAAAAAAAAAAAAAAAAAAGGGAAAAGAAAAAATAAATATTCGATGTGTAAAAATTATTCACACACCAACATGTTTGTTAAAAAGTAAATACGTATTATTTAAATCTTACAGATTAGCACGAGGAATGTCCTCAATTGAGTACACACCATCTACTGTCTCAAAGAAACTTGTCAAAAGCTCCTCCCGGTTAGGGAAGAAGTGATAGGTGTCGGAATCGATGAACACAAACTTGTTACCAACCGAGCCAAAATAGGCCGCAACATGGCTGGGGTGATAAAATCCCTAGTTTGAAGAGCGTTGCTGATCGATAAGAGACCGCACATTGAGTACCGGTCCGACAGCATCTCTTGATGTTGGCACAAAATTGATGTGCGAAGACTGACAGGCATCTGTGTATACAAAAGATAGTATATTAGTACTGTGCAAATCACATGAACCATAGCAGCAAAATATTGATTGCAGTAAATCAATATGACAAAACCCAAGGTTATTGAGACCAGTGGAGACGATTCGCTACCGAGTGAAACAAGTTCACTCAGAGCTAGCCCAGACTATAGCGTCAGGCGCGCATCGCACTAAGTCTCGCTCCCTTGAGGATTGCACTTGATCAACACCTTCAATACTTGCATGCAAATCAGAAGAAAACCGCACCTGTGCAAAAGTTGAAAGATCAGGAAATGAACACTTAATGCACTCAACGAGAACGATACGGAAGAGAAAGCAAGCGTATTTCACTGATACTTAAACTGCACGACGGTAAATTTCTCGTCGATCTACGCATATTTCGTAGCATCATTGATACTGACCCGTCTTCCGTACAGCATATATTAGCTTTGCAACCACGCGCGCCTTCGATTCGTGTCATTTTAGGAGCAATGCGCTCAAACGAGATTATAGACAAAACCTTCCCGGGTAAGATGGTGCTCTGCTTGCAGATCACGTTAAACTCTGGTCGTGTCTACCATAACATGTGAGCACTAAGGATACTGTGTGCGGTGTTGTTTTGGAACGTAATATACGTAGATCACAGTATACATGTACTATATGTTGCTTCGCTTTGAGTAGAAATTCTAAGCCCATCGCAGCGCAGCGAGGGTGGTCGGGCCCTCTCTACACCAACCAACCATGCCCTAGCGTCCGCGGAGCGGCGCCACAGACGCATAGTTCCGCGCTCATACTTTTGAACCCTGTGGTTCTGTTTGTCCGCCGGGCGACTCCGTGTCTTTCTTGTATGGACTGTTTTTTTCGGAGGGCCTACCAGCGGGCCGGATAAAAAAGAGTTCTCTCCCATTCTAACCGACGGCACAACGTTTTGTGACTTGCTCTCCACTATGCCATAATTTACAAATTGGGACCAAGAAGGCGACACAAATTTACCTCCGCGCCCTGAGTTGGAAAATAAC